CGGGATTACTGCGCCCCCAATCAAACGAGGGAATCGATTCCATGATCGTATGTCCTGGCTTAGCTTCCAAAGAGTGAGCCGTATCTGACAGGGCTGAGCTGGATCCCACTGTGAAAGGCAGGATTTTACACTGTCCTTATTAGCTGCAAACAGTGGGGGGAACCAGTGGCTTATGTATAGCAACAGACTGCCAGCAGGTTTTTCCTCCTTTGTTCTTCCACTCTCTTCTTGTCTTCTGCCTTTCCGTTTCAGCTCGTCTGCCGAGCACAGTGAAGTGTAAGTTTTGCAAAGTGAACAGTGCAAATACATTTCCCTCATATCCCCTACTTCATCTTTTTTTGTGTTTGTGTGTGTGGGGGGCAGGTGGTGGGAGGGTAAGGGACGTGATCGCCTGCCTGGATCATCGAAACTACACAGAAAGATACATGTAATTACCAAAAGAGTGCGGTCGACGTGAGGGGAGGAGGACAAGGAAGACAACCACAGGCTGTCAGCGGCAGAGCATTGCAACACAGGTCGGAATCTTGTACGACAAGACGGGGAAGATGACGGGCCTGCTGAGGAGATCTAAGCGCTTCGTTACAGCCGAGGAAGGAGCGGTGGGTGTGTAGGAGGAAGACGCAGTTGTGTTGACCTCTCATGAGCTCGGCCTTCGGGAGGAGTTGTTAAAGTGGAAGTTACACCGAGAGAAAGGCGGAGCGAGCGAGGAAAGAAGGGTGTAATAAGGCACGATGAGAATACGCTTGCATCTCTCCGCTTGGCTGCGGAAAGTCAAGGTGAGAGGGCGGGGCGGAGACAGATGTCAGCCATAAGAGCGCGCTCGTGTTTATGAGTCATCATAAAGGGTCAGGGTGTCACTTGTGCCCGAAGTCAGCCTTGCTAATATGTAAACTGCACAGAGGGGCGTGTGCAATCTGCTGTGTTGCAAAAAGAAAGAGTCGTCGGGCAGATTAAAAATTTGTCATGTTCACAGGACTCTGATGAGTTCCTGAGGTAAATACAAGCGCATGCTATTAAGCTTTATTTAGTAAGAGCTTAATATTTCAAATGCAATATGTATAAATTCCTTTTTTATTGTTTCACCTTTATGTCAGCGCTGCTTTCCCACCCTCATCGTTCAACGCGGTGGCATTTCCTCATCCAAGAAACTCGCAGCTCATATCGAATAATTATCCAGACAGCAGCTCAAATGAAAACATGATGGATCGCGCCGCGCGTGCCACAGCGCCAGCACGGGCAAACACTGGCACCCACGACGGTAATTGTTCTAACATTTCTTCCATTACAACTGATGGAGCGGGTCGAATCGCAAATTAATAAAATCAATATTGTATCTGCAACATGTGTCCATCGATTTGGCACAGCCCTCCGCTGTTATTGACAGCGGATCCAATCGCACAATCTCGCCGGCTTATAGAGATGTGGAGAGGACGGCGGTAATTTGTCCTAAAAGGAAAATGAAAGAAAAAGAAGCTCCTCAAGCAGAAAACAGATAAAAGCTGTCAGCGAAGGTGGTCGGGGAGAAGAGAAGGGGCAGATGAGACTCTGGAGTGAGGGAACAGAGGTGGCAAATAAAGGGAGATAGAGTGGGAGGGGTGGGGGAGGCCACCGAGAGGACTTAAAGGACGAAATGTTAGAGAAATTGAGGGTAATAAAAAAAAAAGAGTATTAGGATTGAGAGGGAGAGCTTGTCAGTGGAATACAGAGAAAGAAGAGTTGGAGTCATGGGTGGCTGCTCCTCTTATTAAACACTCAAATCCTTCAGTCAGTCTCAGGAACTCGGTAAGGAGACTTGTGTTAAAAGCCGATCCACAATTGAGCTGCCATGTCTCTATCCATACCTCATTTCCAATTAACACACAAACCACTTAAATCTATTGTGCTTTTTTTCCTCATCCTCCCCATTGAGACTTATTTTCTCAAGACACGTAGCCATAATCAAACACGTAAGCATGACACACAAATGTGAAGGAAGCACTTTCAGTGTGATTCAGTCCAGCCAAAAGGTTCTGATTGATTCATTTGGGAGGTGTGAAGAGAGTTTACCGGGCCGTCACAGATGAATTCATTCATATCCCGCCACCGAATCCGTTTCAAATGCGTCTCCAGTGACCGCTTGTGATTACACTTTGCTTCCACACTCAATATACAAATAAACTGCTACATGACTGCTGCCATGTTTATGCATTGCCAGCAGATTTCTCGATCTTATGGCCATATCTGGGAGCGATCCATAGTTAAACCACACAAGGTGCCTCGGTATTTCTCCCTCGTGGAACCCTAATAGGAGTCCTGGGTATTAAAGCAATTAAGCTGTAGAAACTGTTTTACAGCATTATGGGAATGCAGTCAAGTTATGAGTTATGGTTTCTTTTTTTTTTACTGTTTAAGTCAGACTTATTGAGTAAGAGAAAACATTAAAGAGATCGCTGAATGAAAATGCCACTGGGTCCTGAGGGTATTGCAGAATTTTCCATCACCTTAGGGGACAATTGCATGTGTTACAGGGATCCAGACAGGACAGGAAAACACAGCTTCTGCATTAGGCAGCAGCTTTTTTACAGCATAATATATGGAGCCATAATGTGTGTGTCTATTATTTTAGAAATCTGACACCAATAGAATAAATTGGAAGTAATTGTAAGAGGATGGGATGGGGGTGGAAGTTCTTATGTTTTTTCCATGCTGTTCAAGCATGTGGAAAAGGGCAAAAATAATTTCAGTTCCCATCGAACTGGAGGTCAATTACATTAAGGTCCAGCTGAAAACAATGTCTATGTGTTGGAGAAAAGAAAGAAAAAATGGGTCCAACCTACACTTGGTGGACTGGAGTAGCAACAATGTAAATTAAGCAACCGACATAATCATGAGGAAAAAAATTGCCATTTCCATCTGAGTAGTCAAAGAGAGCAAGAGGTAACCAATCTTACTGTTTCTCTATGATAAGAAAAAATAATGTCCACACTCCCAGTTAAGGTTTCTAAGAACGAGCCTCGTTCACTGATATGTGCACAGAAATGTTCTTATACTGTGCAAAAGTGTGTGCGTGCAATTTCTACAGGTAAAATCTTGAGGACCAAATGATAAAATAATATCTTTTTATATGTCAGCAAGTATAAAATGGTCTTTGTGTTTAAAATGTTAGAATAAAACTCATTTGCTGGCAGTTACTGTGTGTTTTAAGAATTACCCAAATTAAACACACATAGCTGAGATCTTACTGACCAGTAATAACCCAACCAGCCTAAAGCCCATACCTTAAAGCAGGGGTGAGAAACTAGGACTGTTGTGGAGGGCCACACCAGTAAGTTAAACTCAGTTCTGCTGAAAATAATTTTCCCTCTTTATTATCTCATTGGTAATCACAATAATAATTATTATAATAAAGTTGATTTGTACAGCACTTTTCAAAACTTGCGTTTTAAACTGCTTTCCGTGCGGCGCTCCACAACAGTCCCAGTTTCTGATGTAGCCCCTTGGTAAAAGTGCCCACCTCCGCTAAAGCCTTTCTCACGATCTTGCGCATATTTCAAGAATCTAGCTGCCTCATGGTCAAAATGGTAAACTAGTGAAATGCTTGAGTTGAAAAGGTTGAAAACTTGAGTAGATGCAAGTGTGACGGATGCAAAAAGTGGGCTACTGTTCATTGCAGTGGCTTTATCCTTGTTAGTATCCCAAAGACAATGACACCTAGGAAAGACACTGGCACTGGATGACTGAAATAGCATAATGTGCATATTACAGTGAGGAATAAAAAGACCATTTGCTAGCTCTGGATCACAGACAAAAAGGGCTTTCACTTCACAACATGAAAGCTACTGTCAGGCCCACTACTGAGGGAACCATGTAAGGACATCAAATGTTAAAAGATGGCTTTGATTTGAATTACTACAACTCACTTCAATGCAGCCGCTGTAGACTACACGGCTAAATGCCCATGACTAAATATTTCCCCCTTTTTTGAGCATCAGGATTTTTGGCAGGCGTAATTATTGTGACTTTGGTGTTCCACTTCAAAGTTCATTAAAAAGACAATAGCAAAGGTCATATGGCAATGTCCATGCCACTTCCTTTAGCCTCGCCTGGATATCCTCTCAGCATGCTCATCCTGTCACCCCATGCTGATCCTTCCATTCCCTGTCCAAATGTTTTCACTTAGGTTATGTTGCAGCCTGACAGTGTTCTTCACCTGCTGCACTAATTAAATCATTTTTATTTACCCCCTTCAGAGATGCCTCACTAGTCTGAACATTAGCCGGCGTCCACTGAGCTGAACTGAACTGAGAATGAGTACTTTTCTTTTTGATGAAAGTCGAAACGGCCTTTCTTGCTGTGATGGAAATAGAAACTTGACATCATCAGACGTGATTCCTCAAAGATATTAATGCGCTTTGAACTGAGGGAGCTGATGGGAAGGTTGTGACAAGCGCCATTTAAAAAACAAGAGAAAGCCTGAATGCATTATCGGATATATGCCTTACTCTGTTTTGGAACAGCAGCAGCACTAACAGGTTGACAAAAAACTGATTAAACGTTCAAAAATGATTTGCTCGCTTCTACTTTTATAAATTGCACGGCTCCAAAAACGCCACTCGGAGTAAAATAAGTGTAAACTGTAACACTGTTGATCTAACTGATGCCGCATGGAATTAATACAACGCAGGAAGCGTTAATCACCTGTCAGTTATAACAAAGAGACGGCTTGATAAACAACAGCGCTGCATCAGCAGGTAGCGTTCCTCTAAACTGATAAACTGTATTATTTTTCACAGGTAAGCAACACTGTCATTCACATTTCCTGCGTTCGTGCAGGGTGTTATGTTTTCGAATAACAGAAACCATCACGCGTCTTCGCACTCACTGCAGGGTCCTAATCTTTTCCACTAGACTGGATGACACATCTGAGATATTTTTGTATTTCCGACCATTACTGATGAGGCGCTGTTGTTAAGAGGAAATGAGAATGGGCAAGAACATTAGGAGAGCTGGGGGATACATACTGTAGGGCACACATTCATACTGGACTTCCAGGTATTTGTAGGTTCCCGGGCACGGGTCAGGAAATACGTCTGGTCCTGCCACAACAGCACACTGGGTCCTGTTGTTACATCTGAAAGCAAAGAAAAGTCATTCTGTTAAAGATAAATAAATAAGTAAAGCATTAGATAATCACGTCCTTGTGAATGGCCACAATATACAGTGGCACATTAGTCAGACATTTAGTGTGTGGTTAATGAACTTTAAAGCACTTTATTCCGTAGAAGAGATTAAGACGATCACAAAGCTCCACTGTTTATGAACTCAGCTCATCTACTTTTATGCCTCAAATTCACGGGATACATTTATTTTAATTAATTAATTTCTATTTTTGGATTTCTCGGAGGAAGACTGACAAAATACCCCTCGCGATGCCATCACGATGTCACTGAACCTAGAGACTACACTAACACAAAGTCTGTTACAAACTGGAAATATGAATGGAAGCAAACAAGGGCGGCCTAATCAATCAGGAAATGAATTCACACGTTTATCTATTTATTTATATTTATCTATAACTCCTGTGGTTCAACTGCCGTTTCTAAAAACACAGAATTTTCAGTGATTCAAGTCAATCCAGACACAAAATACTTCAACTGTTTGATCGCTATTAGCTATTCGTGTTTCTACATTAGTGCACATTTCAGAGTTGATGTATTTTTCTTGTTGCATTTATATGTTTCTAACCGTACTTTAGACCCCAAGCTACATTTTAACATAGATTCCTACTGTGTTTTATTCTTTACACTTCTCCAAGGACTTCATCTACCTCTCATCCACAGCTAATTTTAGAATCACCCATTAGCCTATTATGCATGTCTGTGGACTGTGGGAGGAAGCTGGAGTACACAGAGGAAACCTACACAGGCACCGGGAGAAGATTCAAGTCGCCACAGAGAAAGGCAGCATTTAGATTTGAACCAGGAACCTTCTTCCTGTGATAGGATTGTGCTACCAATGCACCTCATAGACTGCATATATGGTGTTTTTCACAGCTAATATAATATATGCAATATCTCATACAACACATATGAGCAATGACTAGTGGATAACAATACTGACAAGAGACTTGTTTAGATATGCTGCCCTAAATAAAGTAGAAGAGAGAGAATTGTTGGCAATCGTGGCTCAACAGTTGGGAGTTCGTCTTGTAATCGGAAGGTTGCTGGTTCGAGCCCCGGCTCAGACAGTCTCGGTTGTTGTGTCCTTGGGCAAGACACTTTACCTGTATTTTGTAACGTATTCCATTACATTACTCAATGAGAGTAACGTAACAGAATACTTTGGATTACTTAATATATTATCATGCTTTTTACAACTACATGAATG